CATCCCATAACTCACCCCATCATCCCATAACTCTCCCATCATCCCATAACTCCCCATCATCCCATAACTCTCATCATCCATAACTCCCCATCATCCCATAACTCCCATCATCCATAACTCCCCATCATCCCATAACTCCCCATCTCATAACTCCCCATCATCCCATTACTCCTCCATCATCCCATAACTCCCATCATCAGATAACTCTTCCATCATCCCATAACTCTTCCATCATCCCATAACTCTTCATCATCCCATAACTCTTCCCATCATCCCATAACTCTTTCCATCATCCCATAATTTTATCTACTCCATCATCCATAACTTCCATCATCCCATAACTCTTCAATCATCCCATAACTCTTCCATCATCCCATAACTCTTCCATCATCCCATAACTCTCCCATCATCCCAAAACTTCCATCATCCCATACTCTTCCATCATCCTAATTCATCTCCAACTTTCATTCCCATAACTCCCCCATCATCCCATAACTCTTCCATCATCCCATAACTCCCCCATCATCCCATAACTCTCCCATCATCCCATAACTTCCATCATCCCATAACTCTTCCATCCTCCCATAACTCCCCCATCATCCCATAACTCTTCCATTCATCCCATAGCTCTTCCATATCTATCCCATTAGCTCTTCCATCATCCCATTACTCTTCCATCATCCCATAATTCCCTCATCATCCCATATCTCTTCCATCATCCCATAGCTCTTCCATCATCCCATAGCTCTTCCATCATCCCATTACTCTTCCATCATCCCATAACTCCCCCATCATCCCATAACTCTCTCCATCATCCCATAACTCTCTCCATCATCCCATAACTCCCCATCATCCCATAACTCTTCCATCATCCCATAACCTCCCATCATCCCATAACTCTTCCATCATCCCATAACTCCCCCATCATCCCATAACTCTCCCATCATCCCATAACTCTTCCATCATCCCATAACCCCCATCATCCCGTAACTCTTCCATCATCCCATTACTCTTCCATCATCGCATAACTCCCCCATCATCCCATAACTCTCCCATCATCCCATAACTCTTCCATCATCCCATAACTCCCCCATCATCCCATAACTCTCCCATCATCCCATAACTCTTCCATCATCCCATAACTCAACCATATCCCATAACTCTTCCATCATCCCATAACTCCCCATCATCCATAACTCTCCCATCATCCCATAAACTCTCACCATCATCCCATAACTCCCCGAATCATCCCATAATCTTCGCATCATCCCATAACTTCCCCATCATCCTAAACTCTCCATCTTCCCATAACTCTTCCGATCTTCCATAACTCCCCATCATCCCGTAACTCTTCAATCGATCCCATAACGTCCCCATCATCATGTAATCTGCTTCCCAGTAAGTTCCCATAACTGCTTCGAGTTTGCATCCCAGTGAACGATCTCCGCTGAACTTTCCATGCTCCCATAACGTGCTCCGTGAACGTTGCCCAGTGAACTCTCCCATGAACTTGCCCATAACGTTGCTTCTGACATCTCCCGTGAACGTTGCTCCTGACCATGCTCCCATGAATTGCTCCCAATTCATCCCGTGAACGTTCCTCATCCCGTAACTGCTCCCGGAATTGCTCCCTGAACTTGCTCCCGTGAACGATGCTCCATGAACTTCTCCCGTGAATCATGCCCATAACTTCTCGCCCTGAACGTTGCTCCGTGAACGTTGTCCGGAACTTCTCCCTGAACTCTCCCGTAAGTTGCTCCCATAACGTTGCCCCCGTACTTGTCTCCATGAACTCCTCCCGTACTTCTCCATAACGTCTCCTGATCACTCCAGTAATACCGTTGCTCCGGAACGTTGCCCCCAACATTTCCCAGAACGTTAATCCTGAACATTCATCCACTGCACTGTGTCCCCATGTGAACGTTGCTCCCGTGAACGTTGCTCCCGTGAACGTTGCTCCGTGAACGTTGCTCGCGTGAACGTTGCTCCATGAGCGTTGCTCCATGAACGTTGCTCCGTGAGCGTTGTTCCGTGAACGTTGCTCCCGTGAACGTTGCTCCCGTGAACGTTGCTGTGTGAACGTTGCTCCCGTGAACGTTGCTGTGTGAATGTTGCTCAAGTGAACGTTGCTCCATCAACGTTGCTTCGTGAACGTTGCTCCCGTGAACGTGGCTCCGTGAACGCTGCTCCGTGAACGTTGCTCCGTGAACGTTGCTCAGTGAATGCTTCTCAAGTGAACGTTGCTCCATGAACGTTGCTACATGAACGTTGCTCCGTGAACGTTGCTCCGTGAACATTGCTCCCGTGAACGTGGCTCCCGTGAACGTTGCTCCCGTGAACGTTGCTCCGTGAACTTTGCTCCCGTGAACTTTGCTCCCGTGAACTTTGCTCCCGTGAACGATGCTCCGTGAACGTTGCTCCGTGAACGTTGCTCCCGTGAACGTTGCTCCGTGAACGTTGCTCCCGTGAACGTTGGTCCGTGAACGTTGCTCCCGTGAACGCTGTTCCCGTGAACGTTGCTCCATGAACGTTGCTCCCGTGAACGTTGTTCCGTGAACGTTGCTCCCGTGAACGTTACTCCATGAACGTTGCTCCGTGAACGATGCTCCGTGAACGTTGCTCCCGTGAACGTTGCTCCGCGAACGTTGCCCAAGTGAACGTTGCTCCGTGAACGTTGCTCCCGTGAACGTTGTTCCGTGAACTTTGC